TTTTTTTTTTTTTTCAAACGACAGAAACTATATCTCATTCCAACATAATACAAGTACAAGCGGCCAAAAACCGAGTTTTACAACTGAGAGGCCATGCACTACACAGTGATGCCTAACCCAACCACATGTCTCAAACAAAATAGCACAACATAAAACTACCTGCAGCCATAATATGTCCTACTTCCAAATCACAAACACCAATCTGACATACAGCCCCATAAACACAAACCTACAGACAGGGAAACTCCTCTAACAGAACCTCAAAGAAACAGGTAAAAAACAATAAGAAAAACAGACAGCTGCTAAAGAGACAAACCCACTGACACTAGACCTAGGCCAATCTCTTCACCTGCTACTCAGTTTTCCATTGCTTCTCCTTTGAAATCCAGCCAATCTCGAGTTGCTGCTTTGAGTATCTCCCTCTCTGGTTGCCAAATCTGTTCAAAAATCTCGAGTTTTCCATTGGTTTGAGGTTTGAAAATTTAGTTTATTTGTTGGGTCTAAATTGCCTTCATCTTGTTTTAAATCCTTAAATTTTTGTCATGTTTAAATTTACGATTTGCTGAAATTTGTTCTTCTGTTCATGAGTTGTTTTGACCTTCAAACTTTGTTATTTGTTTTCAAACTCTTCATATGATTTGAAGATCAATTTGTTATCTTTTATATAGTGCATTAATCATACAATACCTATTTTATATAAAAAGTTACATTTGACTTACGAACACCGTGCAAGCAATTTCTGTAGAGTTGCCAGCAGGCTTTTGTTTAAGTTTGACCGATTTCATCACTTTAAAGTGCTCGTATGTATTCAAGGTCGTCACGAGAAAAATGTAGTTCTATCCCTTGGCTTTCTATATGTTTAATATTCATTTTAAAATATTGTCTACATCAAAATTTATGTTCATTAAATAGGGACTGCGCATGAGTTATATTTTCAAATTCTGACAGCAATAGAATTCGAATGTTGATTGAAGTTTTACCCTATAAAAGCCCTTGTTAGCATTTTATATCTAAATGAAAGTTTTAGATATGTGTCTTGAGATCATTTTGGGAAAACAATCACTTTAATACGTGTTGTTGACGGACGTTTTCGGTCAACGGTTAAAAAGTTAAGTAATGGAAAGAAAATAGGAAAAAGACAAGGAATTATGGTTTAATCACGATTCTATTAAAAGATCACGAGGTCGGCCTCTCGTACGAGGTCGGCACTTGCGACGTACTTACAGTTTCTTACACGAGATTCCTACAAGTCTAGAGAGAGAAAATATAGGAAGAGCTTTTACAGTTGGGATTCAACAACCCAAAATAAATGAAGTGGGCTGCTATTTATAGTGGCCTTAAATGTGACACTGTTCAGGCACTATTCACCAGTCTTGTCGTACAGTGTTCTTTGCAGAGCAGTTCGGCGCCTCCCTGACAGAATTTAATGCGATTTGAGGTTTTCCTCATCATTACCTGACAGGCATTTATTGTTGGCAGACTTTATGTCTGGGCTAGGGGAAGTAGGTCAGCAGGCTAGGATATCCCGTCCAATCACCAATGATTACTCTCCAAGTGGCATTATTATACTACTATCTAGACCGGCGTTCCTCATTGTGGAGACCCGTCCCGAGGCCCCAGGTCAGTACCTTTTCCTGGTTCGTTCCTCCAGTCACGGGGAGCCCTCTTCCAGGTCGTCATCAGTCAGGCCGGCACTGGAAGTTTTACTGTTTCAAACGCCGGGCTAACGGACGGACTCATGGGAACGCTGAGGTCAGAAAAGTTTCGCGGTCCAGCTCGGCACTTACTCACTGGACTGGGTCTCCGGTTCGATTCTCGAACTCGGGTGTCAACATATAGGCCCTCGAGCTCGGAGAGGGTGCTTTCGGTATCCTCTGTGAGGTTGTTATCATGGAGTACATCCGAGGTCGGCGTGTGACCCAGACTTGTCATCTTGTATGTTTGTTCCCGGCTTGAAGCGACGGGCCATTTAATGCGTCGTGACCGTTACGCTTCCTGTAGATTATGAAAAGTCGCGCCGGTTCAGAGCCTTTACACGCGTCATTCCTTCATTCGTCCTTGTTAAGCGGTGTGTCGTTTCGGCGAAACGGCGGTTTCTGGGGCGCGTGGCACCTACGCGATTATCCACAGACCGTTGGATTGCGTTCATCTCAGTCGTTGGATCGAGCGTTTATTTCGAATTTCAAACGTTGTGCCACGTGTGATGCTGTGATTGGCTCTTGGCTTATATATATATTTCCATCGTCTTCCTTGGGAAGCTTTTACGAGTTCTGGAATTTCTGAGCAACCGAATCTCCGAACGGCCGAGTTTCCGAGCAAGGGTTCAAGGCTAGCTTCAGGGTTTTTCCAACTTCTTGGCGATCTTCATACCGGTAATTCCGTTTATCCGAGATCTTTTCCTTTATTTTCTTTCCATTATGTCGAGTCCATCCGAACACGCGACGAACCTCCCCGCCGGAGATGGCAGCTTCACGGCGGAGGAGACCGGGGAGTTAGTCGTTTACTCCCCCCCGACGACCGGGGCACTGCAACCGCTCAGAGTAACCCCGATCTCCGCCGTCCGCATGACGCCGGCGGCGGCGGCGGCGGACCAGCGTCGTCGGGGACATTCGGACTTCCCCACAATTGAAATCATCGACCTCGGCTCCGGCCAGTCTGACGCCGAGGAGGCCGAGAAGGAGACCGGCTCCATTTCTCCCGTCGAATCTGATGTTGACGCCGAGCTGGTCGAAGAGACGCTCCGGGGCGACACCTACGGACGAGAGCGTGTCCCTATGGCGCGCGAGGATGCCGAGGTCGATGCTGCGGTTGAGGCCGCCACCACGGCTCCTCCCGGGTGTTGGTGTCGTCCTCCGCGAGTGTGGCCCTCCGCAGCTTCGGCGACCGCTTGGGTGACCCCGTCAGTGCTGACCGACCTCGATTTGGCCAAATTGAGGGGTAAAGCGTGTTTCGGCGCTGGGGTGAGGGTCTTTGCTCCCTACGCGCGTGAGCGCATCCACTGCCCTCCGCCGGGTTGCATCGGCGTTTATCGGGCAAGCATCCTGCTCGGCCTTAGATTCCCGCTGCCAGGGGCTTTGAACAGTATCCTTTGCGACCTCGGCATCGGCATCAGCCAGCTAGTCCCGACGGTTTTCGCCATGCTTGTTGGCCTCATTATCTTGTTCCGTCGACAAGGATGGGCAGATCCGACTAGCACCGACGTGAGCTCTCTGTTCGTCTTCAAGAAGTCAGGGGAGACCGGCAATTATTATAACTCCGTCGCCCCGGGTGTGGACAAGTCGTTGATTCATAGGGTCCCAAAGTCTCTGCACGGCTATATGCCAGAGTGGTTCTGGGTCGGCGGCGAGTGGAAGACACCCGATGCGACTCGGCACCCGTCCACCGAATTCATCTCCGGTCCTTGTGAGTCATTTTCCTATTTTGCTTTTGCTTTTCTGATTTATCATCCTTCCTGCTAACAGGTCGGTGTTTGCGTTTCAGTCCACAATCCCCGCGTGGAGCCAAGTGACGAGCTGGTCACGAAGATCGAAACCTTGCTAGGCTTTGCTGAAGGGAAGCGTTACTACCGAGATCTCGTCGCGGAAGAGAGTCTGGTCGAGCACAACCTCTGCCCTGAGTACAACAGCAAGTCCTTTGAGCCCGGTATTTCTCCTTCCCTTTGCAGCAGCAGTTGGTTATCTATTTTCCTTTCATTACTTATACCCGGCCTCTTATTTTCCTTTGGCAGTATACTATCCCTTCCTACGTGAGTGTGGGTTCAGTTCGGTCAAAGAGGCAAGCAAATACGCCTGCGCCAACCCGAATCCGCTCAAGGGACGAAAGATGGCCAGCCGCATGGATTTCCTGACGAGGCAGTCGAAGAGGAAGGCCCCGGCGTCAAGCTCAGCGGGGACCTCAGACCCTGATCCGCCGAAACCGGTCTCTAAGGCCGCCCTTCCCCGAGAGGCCGAGGTGCCTGCCGGCTCGGCCCCGGCTGCGAAGGAGCCGGGCTAGTGCCCGCGAGATCGGCGCCGGTCGCGGCCGAGGTGCCGCTAATCAGGGCGGGGCTGCTCGTCAGAGGAAGCGTCGGCTTCTTGTGGAGGAGCCGGAGGAGCCCGCGGAGGATGAAGCCGAGGTGCGGGATAATGCCCCGCCGTCCCCGAAGAAGAAGAAGGTAACCGAGGTCGCGGGGGCCGCCACCGCGAGTGAGAGGTCGGCCTTCGTCCATCAGGCCGGCTCCTCGACCTACATACCGGTGAATCCGAGCCGCAAGGCCAGCCTCTCCAAGAGCCTTGAGCGATTCCCCGACCAGTGGTTCATCGATTCGGCGTCGGCGGTTCCGCTTGACTTGCCCAACCCCTACCGCCTGCCTGGGGAGGTGATGTCCGCGGCGCAGGCCGTGATGGCCTCTTGGACCCCGACCGCCGAGACGGCGGTGGCTATGCTCTCGCTGACGCAACTCATTCAACACTCGGTGGCGTCCATGGGCCGGACCATGGTCGAGCTGATCCACGCCGCCGTGGCGATGCAGAGGGAGATCGACGCTCGTGACAGGGCTGAGGAGGATCTGGCCATCTCCAAGGGTCGAATCAACGAGCTGAAGGACGAGACCAAAAGGATCTCGACCCTGGAGAATGAGTTGATCCTCCAGCGTGGAGCTGTCGCCGTGGCGGAGAAGGCGGCTGCCAGGGCCGTCGAGGATTTGGCCCGTGAGAGGGCGGCGTGGGCCTAGAAGATGGAGAAAATGGAGATGAGGCGGGCCGTCGAGCTGTCCGAGAAGCGAGAAGCGCCGGGAGGATGAGGTCCATGGGCTGGAGGAGAGGCATAAGGCCGACCTGGCCCATCTCGCCGAGCTGCACGCCGCCGAGGTGGCCGCGCTCCAGAAAAAGCACGAGGGGGAGGTCGCCGAGCTTGCAGACTACGGGAAAAGGCTGACCTCTCAGCTCACCCTCCTGAAAGAGGCCGCCAATCAAATAGACGGCGAGCCCATCGCTCTCCCTCCGCCGGCAACCTTTGCTGAGGTCCAAGCTCAATACTTTGAAGAGATGAGGGAGAGCATGGACATGGCGGCGGCCTTCAACCTCTACTGGTTGTTCCAGAGGCTAGACGCCGGGGTGCTGTCTCTCGATGATTTCCGGGCCATCCTCTCCGAGAAGGCGGGCCGGTATGACCTGGATTTCGAAGGCCAGGTCTGCGAGGTTGACGCTGACGAGGCCGTGGTGGTCCGGAGGCTTCGGGGT